CGGGAAGTCAGGAGCGCTTCCCAGAAGAGGTGAACTGTGTGGACTGGGCCTTGGGAGCTGCTTGAATGCTGGTTTGTGAGCAAGGGGGTGAGGAAGAGGGCCTCCGCTCCGTCCACATGGAGCGTGGGAGGAACTGATATGGGCAGGAGAAGCAGAAAACAAGGCTTGAGAGGTTTGGGGTCGAGACACAGACCTGGGCCCTGGTTTCAGGCTGGGCAGTTTGGGCTTTATCTTGTGGGCAGTCGGGAGCTCTGACGTATTTAAATGCAGAGTGGCCTGACCATTTTGCCTTTTATAGGTGTTGGTGGGACAGTGGCCAAGTGGAGGGGAGATGGTAGAGCGGAGGTGGTTTCAATGCCCTGGGGCAGGACATGGCAGTGAGGGTCCCACATCCTCAGCGTGTGAGGAAGACACCCCTGGCAAAGCCTGTGCGTATATGGGTCAGGTGGTTGCTATGGAAACATCAGATCTTCCCTGTCTATCTGGACAGGGTGTGCACGGAGCAGACCGGCAATTACCTGGGGCTTTATAGGCACGAAGGTGGACCTGAGCTGCCCTGAATGAGTGCTGCCAATGAGACCTGTGTCACCACTCTCCTCTGAGTGGCACTGCCCAGAGAAGGCCAGTGTGTCAGGGATGAGCAGAGACAGAGCAGCCCTCCTCATCCGGAGGGTGGGCTGGGAAGGCACCGTGCTCATTGTGAGTCAATTACACCAATGGGACAAATGACCTCACACAAGTCGGAGTGCAGCCGGCACTTGGCAGCAAAAATGTGCGATGGAGATTGAGAGCAGAAGAGACTCAGTCCCAGCGCAGGAGGGACCCTTTCAGAGCACCTCGTGCACCGCATTGGATGAGTGAAAGAATAGTAACAACGAGGTAATGATAATCATGACGACGACCAAGATAGTGATGATGGTGTGATGATGGCAATAATGATGATGGTGATTGTGGTGATGGTGATGATGGTGATGATGGTGGTGGTGATGGTGGTGATGGTGATGATGGTGGTGGTGGTGGTGGTGATGGTGATGGTGATGGTGGTGGTGATGGTGATGGTGACGGTGAGGATGGTGATGGGGGTAAAGGTGGATAGGGTGATGGTGCTGATGGCTATGTT